CGCAAAGATCATCACCGACGGGATGTGCTCTTTGATTATGGCTAACAATCCGATTACGAACACAATTACGCCGACCTTTGCGTACAAAACATATGCAAAAAATGATTATTAATTACTAATTAATAATTAGATAGGAATACAGGAAATGGTTGCGTGGGTTAGGGGTCAGTCATACCAGGGATATGATGCCTAAACTGAGAAACATTTTCTCGTTAGACTTGGCCTCAGCCACGATCAGCACAATCAGCGCCATTGAGATGAGCAAAACCAGCGCCGATATCAACGAGTATTTTACAAATTTAAAGCATTTGGTTCGGGGTATCACTTCGGGGCTTAAATCGTACTGAAGTACTGTTGACTGCATTTTATCACTTTTACTTTGTTTTATTAATTAGTACTATTTTGATACTACTGTATATTTATCACAACAAACTTTATTACTAAACTATAAATTCTTGAATCAAATATGAATATTATGTTAAATTTGTGAATTCTTGTACTGAAAAAGACTTTTCAATGCATTATTGAAACATAACTAACAAACTAAGAGAACTTCTCATATAAAAGTGCATTAAAAATATAAGACATTTGGGTCTCAGAGACAAAAACTATTTATAAATCATCAAGAATTGAATGCAAACTAAATATAACTGGCGCTGGAAGTGCTCATCAGATATATCATAGATATACCACTGTATGCGCTGAACAGTGCTGTATGTACTGCCAATTTGGCACTAAATCCAAATGGTTATCCGTTTATACGGTATGTATGGATATATGAAAAAATGTGGTATGTTCAATATTTTTCCCATTCATAAATCAAACAATTTAATGATAAACAGAATTTGCATATAATTTAAATGTATATGTGATAAGAGTGCAATGAACTTTGTCACTTATATTTCTTTACCTAAAACATAAAATTATAAATTCAATGATTTGATATTAAACATTGATAAATATCAATTATACCACGGTCCTATTTGTACATGTAGTAAATTCATGCAAATAATTTATTCAAAAATAGCGGCTAATTAAATTGTATCCATTAATAAAGTATAACAATTTCACCATGGAAAAGTATTAATAAAATATTTAATATTCATTAGATATCACATTGAATGCATTGTATTATGTGGTTTGGGGGTTAATATAATGTCTACACGTTATTAATGAGTGATTCACAAACATCAACTTAAATGCCAAAAATGTTTAAATGTAGTGAACGTTATACAGAGTCATAGGCCGCACACAAACACTACACACTGACAATGATAGCCCTGACCCATGTATAGCGTGTGAAACATTTAATGTGAATGCAATAAAAAAGTAGATTTTGTTTACTTTTGAAACAAAAACAATATTTTGAAGAAATGGTGAGAAAATTGGATTAAATGCTGAGTGAATGCAACACCAATTGGCAATTGATTTGAATGACAAAGCGTTGCATTGATAGTGAAAGACGTGTCAAACATAGCATTCATTGCAACAGTATTTGGTGTGAGTTTGCGAGACATATGCGTAAACCCTTTGGACCCGTAATACCAGTGTTTGTGTGTCCGTGCCGTCAGTTTTGCACTCATTTCAGGCATACATTCACTTCAATGCCATTCAATTGACTCAATCATTGAAATCTGCATTTCGTTTAATCAGTCATTTGTAAGTAAACCAGACTTTTGTGTAGTATTTGTGTCTTTCATACGATAAATATATTGATAATTACATAACAAAGCAATCATTTGTTTATAAGTTTGAAAACACGACTCATTTTCGTATGTAAATGAATGCCATATAAAATGCCATAAATTGGTGACTATTTCAGTGCAAATAACGCTAACAAACGGCTAATACTGTCGTGTATTGTGATTACAATGTGTGGTAAATATGTGTTAATGTATTGATTGTCTTATGTTTCAGATCTGCCGTCAAATAGTGTTTCAATACGTTTAGTGGTATTCATTGCAAAGCCATAAGTGTTGCCATAGTCTGTGACTACGAGTCAGTGTTTTGTAGTGTATTTCAGTAGTCATTGCCGTAGTGTACAGTATATGACATAAAAATCTTGTTTAACTGTTACTGTAATACGAAATACTGTATGAAATACAGTTGTATTGAATAACACATGAGTTATTCATTGAGTATTACGTGAAAAATGTATTTTTATGAAACCAAAAGTTTACTCGTATTCATAGGCAGTATCTGTTGACTGAGTCTATCGAAAGCTTTTCAATCAAAATCTAAACACTTTTTTGTGCCTCTAATCTAATATCAATACCAAATAACAGTATAGTATAGTATAGTTTGCTTGTTATCAAATACTTTTGTGTTTCAATAGACTCTTTTGTACTAAAAATCATATCATAGTTATAGTAGAGTTTTATAACTTATTGTTTTTGTTTAAACATTGAAACTCCGGTTAATAAACGCCTTATAGTGCGTGAAAGAGTTGTAATAAATGTGAGAAAAATATTATTTTCCTCTTGAGTTATATTACTTATCTGACAAAACTTTCTGTACATTTCAGGCCTTATTAATACAGTATGTATGAGAGAAAAGTCTTATAATTTAGTGTTTCGCAGATAACGAGTCGAGAAATACGTGTATTTATATTACAGTCAAAAATACTTGACTTTTAAAACTCTTTTAATCAATACATCTGTTTATATGTTAATGAAAATAACTGAATAACTGGTAATGCAAACGATATTTTGAGTTTTTTCAGCTCTCATTCGCTGTGTCATTGCTTTTCGTTCACGTAATTGAAGTTTTGATTAAATTGTTATAACTTTTCCATAACTGCAGACACTATGAAGACGGCGCTTGACTTGTCGACCAAACACGACAATTCAAGATCTCCCGTAACTAATGATGTTTTAAATGGTATTGTCTTGAACTTTGTGGCCATTTTTTTCAGTGCTTGTAATGAAATAAACTTTTTTTTGCTATAATTAAGATATGACTGAAAGCAACACAATGAATACAATGAGTGCTAACAATGAGATTCCTCTCGATTTGTCGGCAAACAGTAATAATTTGAATTCGTTTAACCCGTCGATCGGTAAATGGATGTATGAAAGGGACGACTACATCAACGCCATGGCAAATGATTTGAATATGAATGCCATGAATACTAATCACATGGGATCTCAAGAACTCAGTTCAGACTCAGGTATTGGAGGGTTTTTAATGTAATAAACGATTCATATTAACTGCTTATGAAATACTTTTAGATGATATCGTATTCATTGATTCCATAAATCCTGGTCCGAGTGGTGTTAATGTCAACAAAAGCAATGATGTCTTAAAGACAGGTTTGATTTGATTGATATGTTGTTTGAATTGTTATATTCATAGTAATTGTTACTTGTCTTCAGACTGTGATTCAATAGAAGCATTAGATTTAGACTTAGACTTCAATTACATCGAAACCATAAACAGTGATATCATAACTCTGGACGACTTGAACAGCGATGACGACAGCGCTGATGTCGACGCCAACGACTCCAATGATGTGGAGATAATTAAAGTGAAGTTCTATAACGAACCGATTGGAATGGACTCAGAGATCGAGGTGTTGTCGGAGATCCTCACTCCCAAAGAGGTGATAGACTTCATGCGCGTCAATATGAGACCCATTCAGGAGTCGACACAACTGTCGTTCACAACGATTCGTATAATTATGAATAAATACGAGTGGAATCGCAATCACTTTGTCGACCAGTTCTTTCATCTGGGAATCCAAGCCATTCTCAATCACTTCAAGTTTGTCATCAATTACGAGCTCAAGAGAAACGCCAAAAGACGCAAAACTCACCATAAGGTGAGCCATAGTAGTCACGCAGTCAACTCGAAAGAGAATGTGAGCGCCACGGGAGCTACCGGTGCCACTGGTGGCACCGACACCACTGACGCCAATTTAGATCTGAAGACATGTTTGGTTTGTTTCGACGAAATCAATAAGTCTGATATGTATGGCAACGTTTGCGGGCATTATCTCTGCATTGATTGTTGGAATCAATACATCGCTACTCACGTGAAGGACGGCTCGAGTCTGGACCACATCTCATGTCCGGGCGATAACTGTCCGCAGATTATGGACGACGACGACATAATTAGTATTATTGAGGAACCGATGATTTGTGATAAATACCGACGACTCATATCCAATAAGTTTGTGGCCATCGAGAAGCAGCAGTTGCGGTGGTGTCCTAATGGCGACTGTCTTCACGCCGTGCGCGTCAAGGAGGCCGGCGCCCAAGACGTGGAATGCGTTTGTAGGACAGTCTTCTGCTTCGAGTGCGGCGATCAATGGCACGAACCGCTGAAGTGCGAGCTCTACAAGAACTGGATCCAGAAGTACGCGTCGGCAACGATGGACCCGAAGTCCGTCAAATGGCTTACAAAGCATACGAAGTGTTGCCCGAAGTGTATGTTCCCGATCGAGAAGAACGGCGGATGTAATTACATAATGTGCAGCAAATGTCGCCATCAGTTCTGTTACCAGTGTTTGGGCCGTTGCTCTCACGGCAGGTGTTTGGGTCAGAACGCGGCCGACGCTCTCGAGGCTCAGGCCAGCGACAGCCTCATGAAGATGGATATGCAGGCCTACCCTCAGTTCAAGGCTCGCTATCAGGCACAGGGAAAACAACTGGCCGCTGAACGCACACTCCAAGAGCGTGTCACTAAAAAGCTCGAGCGAGATGTCAAGAGTCTGGAGTTCCGGTCGTCCCTCAAGTTCCTTAAGTCGGCGTTCACTGTGTTGTGTCACTGCCGCCAAACACTCATGTATTCCTATGTATTCCGCTATTACGCCAATAGTCAGCCCCATGTTATGCTTGATTACGACAAACACATGGAGAGACTGGAGACCATAACTGATGAGTTGTCTAAAGTGTTGGTGAGGGAGACCCCAGTCATCACCAAAGACGCCATTCCTTATATGAAACGCAAAGTGCAGTCCACATATCGCGAGTGTGAAGGCAAACGGGCGGCGCTCGTCCAGTATATCAGGAATGGTGACGATCTTAACGTATGGACTTTTAAACCATTATAACCCCAATTCAATTGAAATTTGTGCGAAAAGTTTTTTATGAAAACTTTTTGTGTGTTTTTATTATCAAACAGTTATATATTTATAATATAAAAGAAATTATTTCCAAAATTGAATTCAAAATGTGATAAGACTTTGATTTGATAAACGAATTTGATTTGAAAATAATTAAAAAATACTTTACTTATAGATATTTTGGTTAAGAATTTTGTTGTAATCATTTCAAATCCCAGTATACATTAGAGTGAATACATTTATACTTAAAAACTATTTTGTAATCATATTATAGAAACAAATTGTAATAATTAGTGAGATTTGAATTTAAATTAAAACATGTATTAAAATACTTAAACCTGTATTCAGTAATTCATTTCATGTTAACAAATATAGTCTTGATTTTCTCAATACCTTTTTGATTGAAATTCTCATTTTTAAGGCAATTATTGTCGATATCCTTTTGCTCTCCAATTTTGGCCACAATTTCGTTGATCTTAACATTTTTGGATTGTTTGGTGCGTTTGACACACATTAGGGCAACCATTATGAACAGCATTGCGGACGTGATGGTGATGAGGGACACCAGCACCCAGTCGTACCACTTGTATTCGTCATCAGTGGTCAGTTTGATCTCATGTCTTATGAGCTGATCAATAGTCATGTTAATCTCGGAGTCCTTATTGATGGTGAGGTCGTTGGCGAACAACTGTTGGCCTTCTTTTCTAAGCGCTTCCATAACAGACCACCGATTCTTCTCCTCAGAGTCTTAAACAGTATTCAGTGAATGACATGAAAATTATTAATTTTTTTTGCGTTCAAAACATACCGTCTTTGGGTTGTGGACTAGATTTAGGTGTAATGTTGTCGTGCATGTCATGCATCGGACGTTCCTCTTCATGTTTGCCATTCTTGGCTTCGGGACACTTGCAGTCCACCACTTGAAGGCCAATCCATCCATCTCCTGGTGGTTTGTCTGATAATATTTGCGTAGCGTTTGTATCATTTGTATTGACACTAACTTTACTATCAAAAATGTGGTCCAGAGTACTCGTGAATGTATCAAATACTTTGTCCAAAAAGGGAAACAATTTAACGCCAGAATCCGTCTTATTATTGCCTTTGTTGCGTAAATTGGCTCTAATATCAATAGCCAGTGATTTAAAAGGATTTTCAGAAATATCTGGTTTGCTTGTATCAACTTCTGGTCTATTGATTATTGGTTTGAGTTTCTCGAAAATATCCTTTATTTCAAACGAAGTGTCTTTCAGTGGACTCTTTGAGCCGTTATTCGGATGAAAGACTGGAAGTCCAGATTGAGTCCAATCTTTCCTGTCTTCACTCTTGGGGTCAATCCACGGGAGTATCGGTTCGTCTAGTATTGGCTTAGGCTTTGAAAATATATTCTGCATTCTGTTATGGATTTTAGAGAACACTTTGTCAATATTCTTCTCCTGATCTGCGAATGCTTTCTCCATATTATCCATTGCTTTGTCGTGTTCTTCAAAGAAACTCTTGGGATTCAATCCAAAGAGCGCTTCAAACGGACTCTGAAGTCGTTTTTCATCCTTTTTCAGAGTTTCATTCGCTTTGTCGCCAACATTTGCACCGTTGGTCTGATTCTCGATTTGTTGGCCTAATGCTAAGCCTATGTTAGCGATTAGGGACAATGATATCAATAGTTTGAAACACATTTCAATAGTTATTGTAATTGTTTGCTTAATTTTCACTTTTTTGAGGCACTTAATATAGTTTTTAAGCAGTTATTTAATTAAAAATTTGAAACCACTTGAATACGTGGCACATATTTTATGAGATAATGTTACAAATACCAAGAAATAGCTATAATTTGATCCAAAAATATTCAACATACAGGTAACTTTTTTAAAATTAAAGCTTATACTCGTGTTTCTCTTATGAATTACTTTAATTAAACATGATACACAGTATTTCAAGTTTAAAATTATTTAATATGATTAATAATAAAAATATAGATACAATAATTAATTTACGAATATAGAAAGCATTTGCTAAAACATTTGTTTGTAATTGACAATTTAATTAATTGAATGATTTTGTGGCAAAATATTTACCAAAAATTTTGTTGATGAAATAAAAATTATAGTTTACTCAAAATGAATATATTTTCAAAACCAATTCTTGAGCTAATAAAATATTATAATGATTAAGAATGACAAATATCTCATTCATTAATTTAAATAAACATAATTTACACTAAAAATGCCCTAAAATTACAGTAAAATCTCAATCATTATAATATTTATTAAATTGTTTACCAAATTAATTGAACAGGTAATATTTTATTTTTTCAAAAGTAGTGTGTTTCCTATTTCTAGCTGAGCTCAGTTTCAATGAATCAATTTCCAAGTCGTCTACGGATTCATCTCCTATAAGTACTTTGACTTCAGTTTGAGGACTATTATCATATCCAGCACATCCTTTTTGATAACATTCCGTATTTCGCATACATTTCATGTAAATTAATAACAATATCAATAGAGATGTTATTGTAAAAATTCCGATCAGTGTATAGCTGTAGCTGTCATAGATATCCCTGTTTTCAACCCAAACCTTATTAATGTAACTAATTTTTGTTGGAGTTGTCACTTGTTTTTCAGTTATTTCATTGTCCTCTTCGGCTGATTTGAATGTTACACCTAACCAAATAAATTTACAAATTATAATTATTTAAATACTTAACTTATAAGTTATAACTTTATACCGTAATACCTTTTAGGAAATTTTTGAGTTCAACATCACTTATTTGTGTTTGGTTCTCATCAGGGTTATTTATTGAACTCAATTTATATTCAATTACCGATTCTGTAATCACTTTCTCAGTGGCTTTAGTTATAGTTGTTTGTGGTGTTTGATGTTTAATGGTTTCACTTTCAGTTATAATTTCTGTATCGATTTCTGTGAACTCATTATTCTTTGAAGCAGTTTCTGCTTTGAAATAGTTTTCTGATTGAATTTCAAAATGATTATCAGTTGTCAACATAAGTGACATATTTTTATCCAATTCCTTAAACTTCTCATCTAATTGTCTCTCTTTTTCATCAAATTCTTTATCAATGGATTTGTTATAATCATTTCCGAGTCTTATGTCAAACCCATTGTCCAAATTCTTAATCAAATTACTTCTTAGATTACTGTTTAATGTTTGGGTTTTGTTTGTATCGTTATTATCTGTATCCGTAGCATTATTTTGTGAATCATCAGTTTTATTTGAGCTTTGAAGTCTTGGTAAAATTAGATTTTGAAATACTGATTTCAACACTTGCATCGACACTGATGTAATAATTTTTGCGATATCCGTTTTATTTGTAGGTAATGTTTTCTGTGATGCGTTTTCATCTAAATTATAACCAAATCTATTCAATGATGAGTTTTCTGTGACATTATCCGCCGAATTGAGTTCAGTCTCACTTTCATCACTCAAATCACTTCTGTTTGAATTGAGAGTTAATGTAAAATTCCAAACCTTTGGCATTATATATGAAGTTAACTTTTGGATAAAGTTCATGGGTTTAGGAGTTTCATCAATCTCTGTTGTATTTGTGTCCAATTCATCGCAACTAATTAATTTATAATTAGTTATTAAAGCACAATAAACTAATAATACTTTTAAATGCATTTTAATTTTGTAACTTTTTATTTACAGCGAACAAAACATAATTAATTAAATTATAGAATTTTAATTAACTTTAAAAAATGAATGGAAAACACATGTCACATATACATCAAGAAATACATTAAGTAATAAAATGTAAAATTCTTAATACAGTATAAAATGTGAGAAACAGTTATTAGACAACGAATACAATGATAATAAGTAGCAGAATATTCGTGTCTAAGAATATTCGTGTCTAAGAGAGTGTCCGGATTTGTCCCAAAAACCAGATGAGACCCGAGGTCTTGTCGATGATAGTGAAGAGGAAGGGTCGGTCCACAGCTATGAGGTCCTGACGGTAGGTTCGCGTCACGAATACATACTTAGAAACGGCGGCCGCCTCCGCCCCCTCTTCGTTCACCTCTATATACGCCTTATGTATGGCTTTAGACACCTTTAAGTCTGTATTTCCATTAATCCGCGAAAAATCGGCCAAATCCTCAAACATTGACTTCACTCCCAAACTATTGAACGAGTCCTTCAAATCGTACTCTTTATTGAAAGTTAATATAAATTATTCTCATTATAATACTTATATAATGTGTGAGTATTGTATTGTTCGCTATTAATACCTGTTTCTAACTTAAACTTCGGAAACATTAAAGTATTTGTAAATCCTTTTCGTTTAGTGATTGTGTGTACGGTTTGATTGAGTGTCTTAAGGCTTAACTTCTTTGTCATTGAATCCAAACCATTCAATTCATTTGGCAAAAGCTAAACAAGCATATATATAAATTTATATTATAACAGTAATACTTGTAATACTTTGTACAAGTTTCAAATATTATAATGAATTAAATGAAACAATGCCTTACAATAAACATGGAGAGGTCGCCAATGAATGGCATTTCAAACATATTTGCGTCCAATTCTCGGACATATTTGACGGAAAACTTTCTCTTCATGGACATCATATTGACATCAATGGTGTCCTCCTTGCCCATGTCGTGAAACTGAGCCTTCTTTGTGTCCTTCCTATCGAAAAGGTATTTCCAAACGCCTTTGAAATAGATAGCGTTCACCAAAACCATTGCCGTCTCATCACTCAACGGCTCCTTAAATAAGTCTTTAATTTTGTTATTTGTTTGCTTTGAAACCCAGTCATTGATGTCGTCAATAGTTTTTTGTTTATCCACTTTAAAGTCAACCGATTCTAGACTCGAAACAAACGATTCTGTCATCACTTTCTTATAATCCAGTTTCAACGAGAAGTCATTTTTGACAACTAATAGATTCGCTAATTTCATCACTACATCCTTGTTTGCATTTTGGGCTATTGATGTCAATACACTTTTTAACTCATCATTTATTTGTTGAACATTTGCTAATATTTAAGGAAAATTATTCAATTAAAAACCATTTGTATAAATCAAATCTGAAGCATACATACCATTGTCACCAATACTACAAAGTTGTCTCAATTCCTGTTCAGTCACACCATTGGCACCGTTTAGTACCATAAGAATGGAAGTCGTTATACTTAAAGGCGAGAAAAAGTTATTGCCGTCCGAGGGAAAGGTATTTAATAAATCCAGTGCCAGCTTATTATTAATGCTAATTAGATCATTGTGTTTAGGGTCACAATTAATAGCCGAGAATACCGAGATTAGCGATAATATTACTAACTCTGTTGAAAACATTTTGCTGTCAACTTTATTCAAGTATAAGATTTAATTAAACAATTTTAAACAATTTTAAACAATTTTAAATAATTTTAAAACTATTTTATATGAATGTGAAGACAAAGAACTTTTACGACTTATTTCACAAAACAGAGAAATTTATCCATTAATTATATTCAATATATTTTTCAAAACACATTAAATTCTACAGAAAATATCGCAATAAAAACTTGTTTTTCAATAGTCTATAAAATGTTTTTACATTTATTATATAATCATAATAAATATAAAATAAATAGCTTTCTCGGAATTTATGCCAGAATACTAAAAGTATTTTGTATACTTTGGTTACTTTAAATACTCTTTTACTTTCACTACTTTGAGTACATATTTTCATTCACGTAATAATAACTCTTATCAGCAGAAGATATCATTTTCCTTTTAAAAAATTGTTTATCCCTTAGAAATATATTCTGATTTCCCGTCATTTAGTATAAAATTTTATGAATAATACAAAAAAGACAATTGTTTTTTGAAGGTCTTTGTGCGTTTGACATTTGAATTAATGGTTTAGTTTATAATAATTTATTACATTAATGTGTGAAATGTTTTATTAAATAATACATTGTCTATGCAAATATATGAGAAAATTCTTAATATTGCACACATACATTTAAATCATTATTTCATATTTGTTAAATATTTATTTCAAATAAATCAATTAAACAAATAATTAAATAAATAGAATTACAATTTAAATAAATTGTAAATTAAATTAAATGTCAATCGTCTGACCCATGAATAGCACTAAACCCGAAGTATTATCTCGTATTAAGAATAGAAAAGGTCTGTTAATCTTGACCTCAAGGGGTGGAATCCAAATGTGAGGAACGCCTACAATGCCGACCGCACCCGAGGCCTCGGCGCCCACTTCAGTCACTTTGAACACAGCCTTATGTATGGCTTCCGACACTTTGACATTACGAGTGCCAGTAATGCCTGACAAGTCGGCGCTCGACTCAAATAAAGAGCTCAATCCCAACCGTTTGAGTGGATTCTTGAGATTATAATCTAATTCACAGATTCAGAGACATGAGGTTAAGGCATAATTTGAATATCAAATAAAACAACAACTACTGACTCGTATCCAAATTGAATTTAGGAAGCCATAGGTCCAGTTGTCTCCTCTCAGAGGTAATCAACTTATTTACGGCATTATTAAGTGATATATTGTCCAAATTTTTAATCGTGTCATTCAAACCGCTGGAGGTGTTTGTGTTTGGTAATATCTGTCAATAAATTCATGATTCGTTAACAACATGTCTACGAAATTGGTTATAATATAAAAAACAATTACAATAATCATTGAAGAATTGCTTTCACGACTGAACGGCAATTCAATGAGAGATGCGTTTAATTGTGATTCAAAACTGTATCGAAATTTTTTCTGTTGTCTCATAAATTGTACTTTTGTTGTCTTCTCATAACCATTGAAATCATCTTCGGATGTCACATATGCATCAAAAGGGTATTCCCAACCGGCTTTGAAGTACAGTACATTTGATATGACAAACAGGGTATCATTACTTAAAGTTTCAAAAAGTCTATCAATTTTGCCATTTGTTTGTTCTCTAATCCATTCATTAATATTATCCGTTATATTAACAGCATTTCTAAGAAAATCTACTGAATCAACACTTGAATTGAATTTGTTTTTAATTACATTACTATAACTTTCGGATAAGTTATAAGCATTTGATAATAGGATACGATTTGCAAAGCGAATGTCAACTTTGGGTGAAAGTTTACTTATTATTAAATCCGATGTACTTTTAATATTATCATTAATTGAGTCCAATGTTTCTAATAATGATAAATATAAATCAATTTTTGAAATATCATTTCACCATTTTGTACCATTTTGTTGAATATTGAAGAGCTCCTGGAGTTCAGTAAGTGTCCGGCCGTTCGCACCATTCAATAGCATGTGTAAGGAATAAGTGATACTCAGAGGAGAGAAGAAATTGTTTTGATTTTGTGGCAAAACATTTAATAGACTTAAAGACAATCTATTATTTTGTTGAATGAATTGTGAGGCCTCTGTTGAATGGATTACTGTTGCAATTGATATACCAATAACTGCTATTAGAGCCAACATTTTGAACAAATTTGTGTAAAACTTCTCACTTTTTCAAACAGAAATCATATGTTATATAAAATTTAAAATTTTTTGACTGTGTTGTTGACCGGAAAGTTATGTCAAGTTTTTCTAGATTTAATTCACGACTATTTTTTCACTTAAACTTGTTTTTCAAAAGATAGTAAAATTTTGGAGACAAAATACAAATCTCGATAAAAACACGAATTTTGTTGAAGTTTTTGAAGTTTAAATAAATAACTTAAGTTGAAGTTCATGAAAACTTTTTTATTTTACGATTAGTTTAAAGTTTATTGAATAAATTATTTTAAAACTTTTTAGAGAAATGTTGTTATAATTTATAACTAAGTTTTTAAATTTGTTATGAATTTGATGGTCAAAGAGTCCTCAACTGACCCAACATTAGGATGAGCTCTGATTTATTGTCTTTGATAATGAAAAGAAAGGGTTTATTGACTTTGACGGGGATGTGTCGCACAAATGGATTGACGGCCGGAATGTATAGGAGTTCCGATAATTCCGACGATTGGATGCCTTCCTCTTTGATCTCAATGTATGCCTTATGTATGACTTGAGATAAATGCAAATTCTTGTCGCCATTAATACCCGATAAGTCGGCGGAAGAGTTGAACATCGATTTCAAACCCAATCTCTTGAATTCATTTTCCAAATCATATTCTAATAAATAAATTAATTAAACAACTAATTGTAAACGAGATAAATAAAGTTGTTTCGCTTTTTATACCGGTTTTAACAGCAAACTTAGGCAAAGACAACACTAAATGTTTTTCACTCGAGTCGTCGTCCAATTGATTCAAAACAGTATTCAGTATTTTAATATCCAGTTTATCGCACATTGAGCTCAACCCTGTCCTACTGTTAGGCAATAACTGAGTAATGAATAGAAATTACTTTATATTTATGGTATTATTGTATTATTAATATATTACACATTATATTAGACTTACAATTATTAAAGAAATGTCACTTTCATAACGAAATGGTAACTCAATGACTGATGCGTTTAATTGAGGGCTTAAGACATATCTGATTTTTCTCCACATTTTCATTGTCTCGACTTCTGTGAGAGTGTCGCCAAAGAACTCCTCTCTTATGGTATACTTCTGAGTGAAAGCATTCTTCCAGAAGGCCTCGAAGAATACACTGTTAGCCAAAGCAAGTGATGTATTGTCACTCAATTCGGTGTCAAATAATCGGCTGAAAACTCCTTTTCCTCTCTTATGGTATACTTCTGAGTGAAAGCATTCTTCCAGAAGGCCTCGAAGAATACACTGTTAGCCAAAGCAAGTGATGTATTGTCACTCAATTCGGTGTCAAATAATCGGCTGAAAACTCCTTTGGTTTCGCTATGAATCCAATTATTGTTTTCCTCATTAATAAACTCGGAATTCCTCTTAAAGTTTACGAATTTTAGATCAGTATTTGACATATTGTATGCAAAATCTTCAAACGGTTTTAGTAATGGATTTTTATCCAATAGTATTATACGATTAGCTAAACGTATATTCACTTCATTCTCAATTTGGTCTTCAATTAACTTCAATTGTTTTTTAAGACTTTCCTCTAATGAAGTGAGATTTGCTTTAAAAGTCAAATTAAATATTAATTAATAAGTTCAGTTCAAATAAATATGATTTTATTAAATATGTATTTACTATTTTGATCAATATCCAGCACATTCTTGAGCTCATTCTGAGTCACACCATTGGATCCCTTCAATAATATGGTCAATGATGTAGTGATACTCAAAGGCGAGTAAAAGTTATTTTGTTGTTTTGGCAATACTTTCAATAACTTTATCGCGAGTTTATTATTGATTTCAGAAAATTTTACATTTCCCGCAAAAGTGCCACACTTTTCAAGTATAACTAATTGTAAAATTATTATTAAGTATGTTTTGAACATTTTTATTAAATAAACAATCACTTAGTGATTAAACAAAGACAAAGATTATTTTATAGCAAAAATAATAAGTTATGTATTTTTGTAGGTCTTTGGATGTGTACTCAAAGAATGTTGTATTTCTCGATTTTTTGATAGAAAAATCCAGTTTTGGTTAAACTTGAATTATAAAATATAAAAAATTTAAGATAAGAATTTAAAAATAAATTATATAAAATTTCCATAATTTCCAAAATTCCAGTAAGTATAATTTAATGAATTTATAAAATTAATATTTTGATTTGCTTTTTAATAGACTAATGTTTAAAAATTTTTGATAAGTCTTTTTAAAGAATATACAAGGGTTACTAACTTATATCAGGGTAGTGTTATAAGTTATAACATACAGTATAACTAGCAAATATTCATAATACAGTACTATGTCAGTGTTACAAATAGCAACTGAATTAAAATTTCACAATTTCTGTTGCAAACATAAATAATATTTGTTTAACATCTATCACTTAAACTAGATATTGCATTATATTAAATAACTTTTGTTATTAATCTTTGAATAAAATAAACTAGTTTTTGTCGGTTTCTATTCCCATCGATCATATTCTCGCATACATTGAATACACAAAACATAAGTTATAATGACATTCATGTAATGTGTGTAATATAGTGTACAATATTTTATTTAACAGTCAATACCATTAGATAATTGGCGTCAAAACTCTTATAATAATTAGAACAGAGATATGAGAAGTGTTTTGGGGACATATGGGGCACATATGGGAGACTATATGCTATTTGTTTACATTTTTAATCATTTCTAATGTGACTCTTATTTATGATGGCATGGGAGGGAAGTGTTGACAATAGATAGGACTTGTAGTGCCTGGCTGACAGAGTTTCATAAATACAGTATATAAAAATATAACAAGAATTATTATTGATAATGTTTTCGATAACATTAAATAGCATTTTTCGACTAAACAAATGATTCATTAATAAATCAGCTTAAATACTATACATTTTGTGGTAGTTTTTGGATTAGCCTTACTGGTAGAATATTTTTTATAAACAACTAAATATTTGTAATAGCATTCAATGTTATGTGAAAATAGTGTATCATTTGTAGGAATCCTTATCAATGGGACACTATTTTGGAAATAAATTTCTATTTCTATAAAACTATTTATCGGCGAAACACTTGATATAATCATATCTCAAATCTGAGACGACCTGTAAATTGTCTGTCAATTAGTACTGAGATAACTATTGACCAAAAAATGTTTGGCGCCACAAATGCAAAAGGATTTCACGTATATAAAGGACTGGTAGCACAAATAGAAAAAGGTTGTTTGGATTTTCTATTTTAATAATTAAAAATTGTAGCCATATTTGGAAAGTCTTTATTTTTTTGTGGACAGAAATGACACATAAAATCAAAATAAATTTGATTAATAGAAATACAGTGAATGAGAAGTTAAAGTCCTCCTGGCACCTTTATGTTTATACAATAATCATGCTTTTAAATCACACAGCATTTGTAATTAAATTCTTTATAATTCTTTAATTCTTTGCAATTCTTAAAGAATTTTAAAGTTTTGTTAATTTGTATAATATTTTTTTCATTTGAAGGGAATGACAAGACATATGTTTTTCGTTGTTATGATTGATTTGAAATTAATTTTGAACACATCGATGAACAACATATCACTATTCAATTCATTTGTATCAATTGGTTATTTAATTGGATCTCTTTGTGAGTAAACATTATTTTTTAAAGTTTTGTGCTTTTCAATTATAGTCAAATATAAAATTTTTACAAAAAAAATAATAAGCTTGGATATCTTATTTTAAATTATAACTATTACTTATTTATTATTAATAATTTACAAATGATCCTGATCCTCAGTTGGATTCCTGTATAAATACATTAACCGACAACTGACTGCATCTGTATTACTAAGTCTAATGAGTGTGGCATCACTTTTGATCCCATATTCCCAATCACTGCCGCATATCTACGCGTGTGGTCTGGCAGTGGGTTTGGGGTCCGGGTGTTGGAACAGTATTGCAAACGTATGGCTCATTGAGATCTGGCAGAACCGGTCGGCGCCATTCCTCCAGTTAATCCAATTCATGTATGGCATCGGAACTATTCTGTCGCCACTCGTCAATCAGCTGTTCCTCAATGACGATGACATCACCGCTAATACACTCAGCCATACATTTGTCAACAAATCGGCACAAACTGTGGATTTGGTTGAAATGCGAAGAGAGAGTCTTAAGACACCATTCCTTATCAATGGACTCATTCAGTTTACATGTGAGTTATTTTTAGTCTAAGATATATAGTATCTAGATACTATAGTACATATACATATAGTAGATATATACAGTATATAGATATATAGACAGCTCAGTTATCTCTGCGAATCCCTGTTATGCCTACTATCAAGTGTTCACAACTAAAATATTTACACTTCTTATGAATTGTTTTGTAATTATGTGTGCACTCTATGTCCCAAATTAAATGCTTGTAATTGAGACCATATATGACACAAACCCAGAAATTGATTCAAGAGTTTTACGTCAAAATCAAATAAGTTTTAGTTATCTCTTGTGCTAATAACTTATTTAGAGTTACAGTAATGTGAAAGTTTTCATATTGCAATCTATCACATGATTTTAAAGCAACACAATTGCCTTATTTGTACAATTAGTTCCGACACTTTTGGTCCTAATGTATGTAATACGAAGATATGAGGTGCCCGAGCAGATATTACCCGACACTATTGATTACAAGAATAAAAAATCGGAGCAAAAAAAGAATTTATTCAAAACAAGTGATGAAAGTCCGAGAAAGACACTGATCTTGATGTTTGCTATTTTACTCATGTTTTACAACGCGTGCGAAGGCCTGCACTTCCAGTTCGGGCCCTCCTATTACCAGAATATGGAGCTCAGACTCACCGCCAACAGAGCGGCCGGTATTATCTCAGTGCTGGCCATCGCCTACACCATCGGCCGGGGAGTCAACGTGTTCGTTGCCATTAAAATACGAGCGAAAGCTATGATTGAATACCACTTTCTAATAGTAATCATTGGCTTTATATTGCTTTTCTTTTCGCAAAATTCATTAGTAGTGCTCAGAATCGCAAACCTTGTGCTGGGCTTTGGTTTCTCAGCCCTATTCCCGGCTATGTTTGCATTCATTAAGCAATACATTGATATCACTAATCAAATCGGAACCGTATTAATGTTTACGTCCGAAACAGCCGTTTCCTTTACGCCCTATTTTTTGGGCACTTTTATAGAGAAATATTCAGTGATTTTTATTTTTGTTGAATTACTATATTTTGTATTAACAATTTTCACATTTCTAGTGATTATTTATTTAATTAAGAAAACAAACGAGAAAAGTGTTTCTAAACTCAAACTATTGAATGATAGCTTACATTAGTAGCTAATTAAATTTATTTATTAGTAATTCTGTAAGTATAAAAATTAATTTATATAAAAACTAGTATCAAAAATATTGTACAAAATATACATAAATGAATAAACAAAAAATTTTAGAAAAACCTTTATTTGTCATTTATATAAATAGTATTTTAAGTAATTAAGAAATTGGTAACATTTCTAATTAAACTTGATCGGAAAATCTATTTTTGAGTGTTTATTCATTTATATGAAAAGTTGTGAGGCGTCTGAACCGACACCAACTAAACCTAAATTATAACAAAACAAATATTTGCTCACAATTTGTGGTGAAGTGAGAGGAAAATGAGTGAATGAGTGAACACTTTTGAAGCTGAAGAGTTTGAGTGGAGTTTTCAACAAAATTACAAATAATAATAATCATCAGAATATTCTGAACTAAAGGTTATATTATATAATATTATAATATATGGTAATTCATATATTGGTTGTAGTTTTGCAGTCGAGTCTCAAACAAAACTCTCCAAAAGCACTAAACACTTGAAACAGAAAATTACTGAAAACACAAAACAGTTGTGTTTTGTGCTTAGAAAACAGTGTTTTGAACTCAAAAATTGTTATAAATGTTAATCTTTTATAAATGAATATAATGTTTAAATATGTAAATTGAAACAGAATTATGAAGTGCATCAGGAATGGACCTTTCTTACTCACAAAACTGATACTTTTACTCCTATACGTGTCTATCATATGCTTATCAATAGTCGATTCAATCTATTATACACCGCAACACAACTCATTGATATTCATAGCGAATATTCGTTCACTTTTTATCTATTATTTCGCTATAATTGTGTTCATATTGAATATAATAGCCGTATTTGTGGGAAATACAATCGCATTGATCATAACGACAAGTGTTACATCACTTTTACTAATAGTCATCCCATCGATGATCATTGAAGTGATTCCGTGTCTATTGACTTATTTTAATTTATTGTTAATCATAATCATATCGATTGTATATATAGTTCAGATCACAAGCAATGGATTCTCTAATGTGAACCATATATTCAGTGCCACATCTCATACACACAACACTTACTTCACATCAAAGGATGAGATATCTCTCCCAACGACTGCTATTTAGACAAATATTTTCTATAAATATCACAATTTCCAAGAATTGTGAATTTACACTGTACATTTTACAGTATTTTACAAATTTTAACCGAAAAATAAATAATTTTTCAAGCAACATTAATTTTATTTAAACTGTTTGTATAAAATTTACGGTATAATAAGAAATGTGTTTAAAACTATTAAATGGTGTGTTTATATATTTATAAAATAAACAAAAACTCAAATTACTTATTTAGATGATATAAATTAATTAAAAGTCTATTTTTGAATTTGAAATTCTTTTTATATAAGATATTAATTTTCAATGTTTTGTTAACATTGAATAGTTCTCCAGAATTGTGTGTTGAGTGTTATGTTTGACTTATAATGTGATTAACAATAAGCTATAAAATAATAATCAGTTCACTAAAGACAATACACTACAAGACTTTTGGATGTCTGCCCGCATTCAACAGACATTTGGTATTGAAGTGATAAAGTCTTGGAAAGTATTGAAACAGACATTTATAAAAGAGTTTCACGAATAACGAGATATACATAAATTAGTGATCAAAAGAAATAATAGATTTAATTATAAACCAAAACCAATGTCTAAATATACATAACTGTTGCTAAAATCAAAACACAGTTGTGTTTCATATAAACTTAAACATCGATTCTCTTGACTAAACATTTGGTGAATAAATGTCTTGAAGTCATGTCAGACATGAGTGGGAAAGACATATGTATTGAATGTTTCAAAGTATTGCTTATATTTTTTAACGTAGTTATTATAACATTAGTTTTATTAATCGTTGTATTAATTGGTATATTACGGACACAAGTGTTTGACTGGCAATCCGATGATGACAGAAATAATGGCTATTTTATATCATTTTCCGTAATATCCATGCTAATCTATGGCTTCAATCATTTAATAGCCATTTATGCCGTCACTCAGTACCTCATAAATCACTTAATTGTTACGACGATTATCACAACTATTTGTATAATAATTTTGATTTTCAAACTGCCAAC